ATCGCATGCTCTTAATTTTACCACGAAACCTTTTATAAGTCTAAATAGCTTTTGCAGCTTTGTTAATAACCATAATAATATATTTTACTCTTACTGTTTAACCATAGTAATATTATTTTACTGTTGATACATGTATTACCGGTTTAAATTCTCATATCTGTTATTGCAACAACTTCACTCAACACATCTTTCCGAAATTTCACCGGTTGCTTTTACCGAAGGCATACTGTACTTAGTATCGGAATATCTGGTATCCAAACTGGTACCTTAAATACCAAAGTACCTAAGTGTGTCCATCACTGCTTAAGATATATAGTTCGAATGTCAGAGTCGACGAGTCTATGTAATTAGCTTATACCCCTTTAGGAGATGATTTGAAGATTACCTTAATCCCTTACCATGATGATGATACATACATCTTATTACATTAAATGAGCAATTATTGTATAGATATATATATCCATTTTAAGGTTATCTGAATAGGCGTTATCTCCGAGAAGACTCGTATAAAGTTGCCACCTATTCGAAATTAGTTGCAATTTAATTAAAAAATCCATCTCGTTTATATTTTTAATGGGGTTGCCACCTATTTTGAATCACATATTATTTAATTTTTTGTTTAGAAAAAAAGTTAAAATATTACTATTCATGGGCACCAAGAGGAGGTACTTAAACAATGCTTTCTCTTATACAAAACACTATCTCTTAGGATAATACTGTAAGGTTGCCACTTATTTTCGATTTTACACAATTTATCTAAACATCACAATATGGATATCAAATCAAAGATATTGTTGGGAACTTTGGTTCGAAAACATTTTCCATCAGCGTTGCCACGCTTCTATGTAATAACCATTTTTATTTTGTTAATTTCAATCAGCAATTTTTTTTTATGTATACATAGTACATATACGCTCAAGATATGTACCATTCATTCCAGCGCATTCGGGAAAGGGTTGCCACCTAAACTTTAAAGTAAGGAATTTACTTAATAGGTATCGAAATCCAACTTTTTTTTTTGTTTATTGCCAAAATGAAAACTTTAAAAAGTTCATATATTCACTACGGGCAACGCTCGGTCAACCTGGTACTACCTATAAAATGAGTACGTAATAGTTTCGCCCCAAATTCCTTACCAAGTTTCCAGGTGTGTCTTTCCTAACTGCCGTATTATTATTTTTCGCATGTTGAAAAAGCAAATAGTCGAAAGGCATCAAATCTGGACATTGAACTTTTGTTTTTGCTAACAGACTAATGTGTATTGTGCCGATACGACGAGGTTGAGTAGCTAAATAATACATGGCTTTGGTCGATAGTCGAATACCCGTCAACTATTGCCGTCTTTGTGCCGCACTTTAAAGCCCCTAAAATTTGTTTTGCGCTAAGTCAAAGAATCAACGTTTTTACTCCATCTTAAAAATTTTGAAATAAGACCAATTAATCATAATATATATAATTTAGTATATACTAAACATATAACTAAGAAGTGTAATATTATAAAAAATAAAATAAAGGCCATAGTACTTTTAATCATCGCACACACTGTACGCACTGCGCTCTTTGTACGTCCCTAAAGCCAATTGCCTTCAAATTGCATTGTCAACTCCCTATTGCTCTACCATTTTGAATTTCCACCTCGTTATAGCTATTTATTACAAGTACTCGTGTTTTCCACATTTTCTGACTTGGCTTTCGTATTTTTTTTGGTGGCAGCCAATTGTTTACTGCTGCACCGCTTAACCCACTTATTTAACTCCATAAAATCAATACAAAAACCTGCCGGCTGCACTTGGCCATTTGAGGTCTGTTGTTGCCGTCACCGTACTCGCCACCTTCGTCGCCTCCAATACTGCCGCCGCTGCCATGCCAGTCGTAAACTTAGCTAATTGTTTGATCCACCCCTTAGTGGTGACTGCTATGTAACAGCCAATGACCAGCGTGCGACGCAATGCAGTCAGCTGTTTGGCACTTGGCCGGGCAATTTACGTAGACCACTCGTTTGTCGGTCAGTGTGATTGCAGAGGTGAAAGGGTGGCGCAAGGATGATGCAATGATTACTGTTATAAATGTACTTCGATATTTGCTTTCATGTGTTTGTTGTTCAGTATTTTTGTATGTATGTATTTACGTATGTTTGTAGGTAGGTGGGCGGGTGTACAAATGACCCACCGCTGCCGCTCGTAAAGCAAAGTTGCTCGTTAAGCTGATTCTTTTTTTATGCAGTTAGTTATTTTTTATTGTTTTAGCTGCGCGCTTATCAACTTTACATTTGTCAGGTTGCATGCTAACTGGAATGTTGGCAAACCACTTTGGGGAGTCACAAATTTTTTAAACGCAATTTTAGATTTAAATTGCAGCGCAGCTTATCCCAGAGCAGTAGGTTGGTTGGCTAGGGCGGTGATTTAATGACTTTTGGCTTTTGATTGCAGGCAGGCAGCTGTTTCAATATGCACTTTATTTTTCTTATTGGTTTTCTGCTCACTTAAAGTCACAGATTCACCTCAACTGATTTTAATCCTTCCAGCAGTGTAAATCTACTAAAAGTGTACACAGCACTTAAATACTTTGAGGCAGCAGAACCTTCATTGCTTTAAGTCGATGTAAGCATCACGTTTGTGTGTGTGTATTTGCAGCTTGTCATTGGCTGTCTGCTATCTATGTACTATATGTATGTATTGCACACATGTAGAGTGCTAGTTTTTCCCTCAAAACTGTCCTACCCATTTTTGCCTCCTTTTTTGTTTTATTGTTGTGATTTGTATAAATTCAATTTTGGTTACAAGCTGTCATGTGGGCATTGCAAATGCATTAATCATGAGCCAACAGCAGCAGCCACAAGGATTACTGCTGTTGTGCATTTGTACAGGCTGAGCCAAAAGTATTAGGCGCACCAATATATGATGATTTAAAATTTTTTGTTTTTTTTTTGTTTATTTAATGTTTAATATTTTTTTTTATAAAAGCCTAGTTCATTGTCTAACAAAGAACATATAATAAAGAACTTGAAATTCGCACTTTATTATACTCAAATTTAATGGGCTACAAAACTGCATACCAATTTTTTTCTAAAGATCCTGAATAAAAAGTTTGAAATTTTGGTAAAGATTTGCAGTTATGAATGTTTTTTACACCAAAGTTGCGTAAAATTGGAACATTACAAATTTACAAATTTTAAAAAATTTTTTTTTGGGATTTTTTTTTGAGTATGCAGTTCTGTAGCACATTAAATTTTCGTATAATAAGGTGCAAGTTTTAAGCTACTGCAAAATTGCTTTGATATTTTTTATGCTGACGGCTTTTTGCACTTTTTTCTTATGGAAGAAAATGCGCAAAACCGTTTTCAAAGAAAATTAAAAAAAAAAAATAACGCTAGTTTTGCAATCACTTAAAGCTTGCACTTTGTTATACTTAAATTTAATGGGCTACAAAACTGCAAAAAAAAAAATATGAAAAAAAATATTAAAAAGAATTTTTAAATTTGTAATGTTCTCATTTTAACTCATCACAACTCAAATTATGGTAGAGTGCACCCCGAAATACCATACTTAAATATTGCGCAACACTCAGAGCTACCATTGTGATTTTTTTAGTTTTTTTTTTGAGATGGCATATTTTCAAGAACCAATTTTTTTTATCAAAAAATTTGTATGGGAAAAATTTTTCAAGAAAAAAAAAAATTAAAAAAAAAATATTTGTTTTCATAGAGTATTTTATTTTTTTTTTGAGATGGTATATTTTCAGAAACCAATTTGTTTATCAAAAAATTTGTATGTGAAAAATTTTTTAAGAAAAAAGAGCATTTTGATTATTTGTCAACTTTTTTCCTCGCCCCGTTCTCGAGATATTTGGAAAACTATTAAATCGATTTGTTTTTGTTTTTGTGCTGTAACATTTTTAAAAATGTATTATTCAAGCTCAAATTTCATATTTATTTACATATTATTTTTGTTTTTCCATAAACCCCAAAAATTTTAAACAAATCAAACACATGAAGTGTGAACCCCGTACATTTCGGTATGGAACGCTCCATATATGTACATATTGGTGTGCCTAATACTTTTGGCCAAGGCTGTACGTGCATATATTGGCAGTATTTCTGCGTATGTGCTTGAATGTGTTTATCCGCTGCTGAAAGGCCTCGTGTTCGCTTACATATGTCCTCTCTGTCAACCGCAATGGCTAACCATTAAGCGTAGTTGTCTGTGCTGTTTGTGGCTTCCAAATGCATTGGTAAAAGATATAAACAAAAACTGGAAAGTCGCCAAAGGAAAGCAAATTTTTTCAGCCGGTTTTAGTGTTGCTGTCATCCCTTGAGTAATTTCATATTGCACTTTGCACAAAGTTATGTGAAACCCTACTTCGATTTGTAAGTCTTGGGGATAAAAGGAAAACAGATTTTATTTTGCCTGTACTGGATGACTACAACTCATGGATGGAAGTTAACTCACTTTTTAGTGCTTTTTTGTGTGATATGAATTGTCATTAGGGTCCGTGGGGTAGAATTGTACACTGCAAAGCACATGAATCTAAAGTATGTAGACAGTAATGTGTGTGATGCGAAGTGTCGAATACTTTTGATAATCAAATACCTTGGCAGCAATGCTTTAAAAATCGGGCACACTTGATAAAGTAGCAGAGATTAACTATTTTGAAAAACTATTGGTGGTTTTACTGCTGAAATGCAAAAAGTCGTAAAAAATATCATCGTTGAAATGCAAAAAGTCATAACTATTTAATAAAAAATTCAAAATTCAATTTTTGATTTATACGATGGATTTCATGGAATTACAACTCTCCACATCATTTTATGAAAAAAAAATTAAAATATTAGTCACCGCTTTTAGAATTCAGTTGCGATGTTATTACGTCTTTTTGCATTTCAGGTGACGTTATGTCTTTTGGTTGACACCCTGTCCTTATAAGTCCTTAATTTTAAGCATAAATTACTTACAACATCCAAATAAATTCCTTACACTTTCAATTTATTCATTTCCAGCAGCTCCATTCGGAGTATCGGAGCACTTATCGCTGGCATGAGTTCACTGGCAATTCGCGGCCTGAAGTGGTGCGTCGTGCACCAGCGCCCAATCCCAGTCAATTTATCGGTGAGTTTGAACTCTTTGTATAACTAAATTATGTATTAAATTAATTTAAAGTTTATGTGCTTACGCTACTTGCAACTACTTATATATGTACATAAATATGTAGAAGTATTTAAAAATTTGTAAAACTTTTTATGAAAACTTCAATGTGCTTGAACGCTTAACTTCAGTTACTATTCAAAACTATCTTAAGCTTCATTAACAGGTCCAACGAATGAGCCACCGTTACCCAGGCGAAAAAAATGTCCCGAATTGGCATACAAGTCGCACGAGTTCATTATTGGTTCGGAGTATACAGATGCGAGAGGTGGACATGCCAATCGGTTAGCAAGGGTGAGTACATAAAAAAAATATATATGTAAATATATAAGAATTATTCTTTACAATGTAAAATTAGGATTTTGATTTATACACTATTCCCTATCATCCGATGTGATGACTTCAATAGCCGTATAAAAACTTTATTATTATACTACTGAAAATAAAGTCCATACTTAGATTGCTAATTTCTAGCCAATTAAGTTCCTGGGAAGTTTTGGTAAAACTTCAGCCTTACAAATGTCATCTTCCACGAGGCTAGGGCAATGGGAGCTCAAAATTATAATAAGGCGCAACGAATTGGTTTCTGATGAACCATGCCCTGTCCGGATCCCTGCCAGAACAGAGCATTGCCGCCCAGCCCACTGAAGAAGCTCCTTGATACCCGGCGGTCAACTATCAACCAGAAGAACTAAGCATTTGGGGTTGTTTCATAGCCCAAGCTGAGCCGAATAAAATCCTATCAATCTAGGAAAAGTCCACTGGCACCACAACTAGTTTTACACTTTTTTATTAGAAGATATGACCTAGCCAGTCATTATGCAAACAACCCGATTCAGCGTGACTTGAAAGTAATCAATAAGGTACCCAGAGTAAGGCCAGACATTCATCGACCAATTTCTGTCGCACCATTAGCGATGATAAAGATCTGACTTTGATTTGGCTGTAATGGAATTACCCTTCTGGTAGATAATAAACTAGAGTGCCGGCAATTGACTACCTTTATGGTGATTACCTCGGCTACAACTATGCTGCAGAAGTCAGTCAGTCTAAAATATTAATGCAGACACGCCCTTGAACTCTATCCTTACAGGAATGTTTAAAGGATCCAATGATGGTAGCCAGTCTCGGTAGGCACCCGGTCCGTTTCTTCAGGTATGGAGTCGAAATGCCCAAAGAATGGTGGACACTCATACACCTGTTTAAAAATAGCCGAAGCTTCCTTGCCTGATGGCGGTGCGATTTGCGGCATAAGAAATCATCAGTCTGAAAATCTTGGCAGACACGTCAGCATTTTTTTCTCATTGCCGAATAAACGTTGCCTACGCAGAATTTTTCAAGTTCTGAAAAATATCCAAAGTCTACTTGATTCACGTAGATCGCACTGAGTCAGCAATATGGCCCATTTGCGAATCTTTGAAGTTGTACAGACTTATCGGGCTTAAACCAGTTGTTCATCCAGTTATTCAGTTCGCAGTAGTTTACCAGGAGAAACAGGATAGTCTGCAGGCCAACGCAAGTAGATTAACATGGTATAGAATTCGATGGGAAACGAGCAATTGAGAAGAAGCGTAAGCGAGGATTCGCTGAATTATAACGATTCATGATGGCCTTCCACTTTTTGGCAAAATTTCTCCATGAACAGCTTTGGTCTTCTTCATTCAAGCCTATTCAATGTCCTTGTTTATTGAGGCCATACCTGTCCCTCCTTTGGTCCTATACATATATCGTAAAATCGTCCGATATTGATGACAGTTCCCTCAGATGAGACAGCTTTTGTGATCTGATATGACGTATTATACAATTTCACTAAGAGAGTCTCTTGAATCACGGGCTTTTCTCTCTTAGTACCTCCGCAAGACTATATTTTCAAGGCCATAAGTTATGACTCTCTATGACACAATGGACCCATACCAGCATTTACGGTTCCTCGGACCTATCGAATCGAACTGTACAGTTTTGTGTAGGTAAATTTAAACTGCAGTACGTCGAACTCATCCGACGAGGGAGACACATAGACCGGCACGCAGACGCAAGTGGAGATTCTTTTTGTTCCGCATTAGAAACGCTGTAGCGTTAAATATAAAATGCCAAAGTCTAGTCGGCGTAGACATTTTATTTATTAATGTCATAATGTCACCCAGTACTTGTAACAGCATGGAGGTGGGTCGCAGGGTCCACTTTTCACTGCGTGTGTCGTCATGCTCTGTGCTAAGGTGAAAAATCTCCGTAGCCTGCTTGCTTAGTGACTTTGCTGAGCGGGGCGGGCGCATCCCCAATTCTAGCTCTTTTCACAAAGTCCCACTCTTTACCCTTCAGGACTTAAAGTCATAGAAAGTGAGCTTTGTGGTATATTAGCCAAGCTCATTGCTTCCTCTTTTAGATCGTATATCACTCTTTAGTCCAGAAATATCTTGGCTGCCGAAGCATTCCAAAATCTTGGTCGCTATGTACTGGTCCTGTAGTCAGACCTGAAAGCTTTACGCAGAAGACCAAAAAGATAAGTGAACAACCCTTTCTGGTTCTAGCGATTCCGGCCAACATCTACATTAATCAAGCCGACACCCATTGACCGCTCGCCCTGACACCCAGAGGGACTCAGACGGAATTGGTTTCCGACTCTTCTAGCGTCTTGGTGATGACTGAGCCTGCACCTAGATCCGCCGCATTTAACATAATTATTTCTGGATTATGTTGTTCTTTTAACAAGCTATACAGTAAATATCGACTTACAGATATTCATCATTATGAGTATACTTTAGCACAATGTAAGTTTATAAATGTCTGTCGCATTAATAAAACTACAAATGTCATAGTCATTTGCATGAATATAAAGTTAAGCAAATATAGCAGCATTAAGACCGCCATTCTGTCGCCCCTTACACAAAAGTAGATACTGTGTGTTTGTGAAAACAATAACTTTTTATTGTTAGTCATTTCATGATCGCCTTCATAAAATACCCATTTTCCATTATTTCTATATAATATGCATTTATGCTTGATACTCATATAAATATATGAAAAAACAGCTATGTACATATGTGTGTCAGACTTCGTGTCCATCATTTAAAAATTACAGTCAGCATTGTCTGTGCTTCGCCAAGAGTCGAGCGTGTCCTTGTTTTGTGTGGCGCGACGAGATGTGCCTTGGCAAGGACGATTACCGTATGAATCAAAGTTGGTTTAAAAAAGTTTTTTTTTTTTTAACATGGAATTTTCTAAGCCACTTAATGGCATTTGTACGAACATAGTAATCACAAGTAAGAGCGCTTGTATGTATGTATGTATGTGCTATCGTGTGCCACTTTCGCATTTGATAAATAAGTAGTCGGTAAATATTTTAACTGCAATGGTAAAAACAACTCGGTAAACCTTGTTTATTTAGTTGTAAAAATGCTAATTTCTATTTACCGAAACTCAAATGTAAACCACACAAAACACAGGCAGACGTGCGTACGTACAATGATACATACATACGAGTATGTATGTATTTACTTCCCACATGCTTCATAATCAACGCATACGAGTAAGCTTTTTTTCGTTTTTTATAATGCAGTTAACCGCAGCTCAATCCACCTGTGACATTTAGAATTTAGAATTTATTTAAATTTCATGGTTTGTTAATACGCTAAGCGCACATTTACGTCAATTAACGAGCTCTTAATGCTAGAATTGTCGCACATACTTAGTTACTCATGCGGTTCTAAAATTGTTTGAAATGGATTGAGGGTTTTTAAAGTACATAAATACATGCATCCTTAATCTTACTATTCCATTTCATTTCGTTTATTAATATGCAAAAGGTAATACACGCAATCAACGGAACTGAACCGAACTTTTTATACCCGGAGTGGTTTTCCCGAATTTGAAATATGTACATATGTATTTACGATAATATGCTCAGTTTGACTTAATAAAATAATTGAATAAAGGTTGGTCAAAATCGATAAAGCGTCTACCGTTATCAGTGATGCACAGAACCGAGGTGCTGGAACCGGAGAAACTGGTCATTTAGAGAACCGATGGGTCCGGTTTTTACAAGAACCAAAAACGGGTCTAACGGAACGGAAAACGGTTCCAGAAAAACCGAAACTCGATTCCAAACGACCCCAAAAACGGTAGAGGAAAAACCAAAACTCGATTCCAGAAGAAAATCAATAAATAAATCCAAGTAGCTGGAAAGCCATTTCAAAAGAACCTAAAACGGTTCCTTGTTATTATTTGCCTCTGTAACCGCCTCAGCGATTTTGGCCGAGTTCAACAAAGCACGCTAGTCGTTTATCTTCTGTATGACGCCAAATGGAAATGCCAAGTGAAGTCAAGTCCTTCTCCACTTGATATTTCCAACGTAGAAGGGGCCCTCCCTCTACCTCTACTACCACCAGCGGGTTCCGAGTTTAATACTTTCAGAGCTGGAGCGTCGGTTTCCATTCGAACGACAGGGCCAAGCCAGCGGAGCCGCTGTATTTTAATTCGTTGCACTATGTCGATGTCGTTTTAGAGCTCATACATTTCATCATCCCAACGTCTGTGGTACTCGCCGTCGCCAATGTATAAAGGCCCATAAATCTTCTATAACATTTTTTCTAATTCTCCAAGGCCCGTCTCATCTACGCCCCTTACCAATACGGGCATGATGAGTGACTCATAGAGTGCGGGTTTCGTACGTCTAGAGAAAAATTTACTTCTGAATTTCCTACTCCATCCAAAGTAGCAGTTGTTGTGCAAGAGTGATTCTGCGTTGGATTTCGTTGGGTGGTGGTTTAATAAAGCTGGATTGCCACTGAAGATGCTAAAAATGTTTTAGCGAAAAGTTGGGCCAGAAAGTGGAATAATGTAGTTTTATTCGCACTAAAAACATAGATCAGACTAGCCTGGTAACATAATATTTAATAAATTACGAACTGAACGGACAATAAAACATATAGGGGTCATTATTTTCGGTGTTAATGCTGGTTCCTAATTAAATGATAGGCTGGAACGCCTTTCTGGCGGATTGGGCAGAGTACATTTAAATTCCAGTCGAAGGGCGTGCGTTCCTCTAACCATATTCTGCATAAGAGTTGATGCATGCACCTTATCAGCTCCTCGCCGCCGTACTTGAATAGCTCGGCTATAAGGCCGTCAGCTCCAGCAGCTTAGTTGTTTTTTAGCCACTAGTCGCGCGTCGTCACAGTCAGGTGGTCGGGAATCGACTCCATTGCCATCGTGGGTGGTCGGGTTGGTTCATCTTATCCACTCCTTTCAGTACTGCTACTTTCAATAGGGTGGAAAAGTGTTCCCTCCATAATTTAAGTGTGTTCTGTACATCGGTCGCTAGGTCACCGTTGTTTTTCTTACAGGAGTTCATCCTGCTCCTGAAACCATCTGCAAATCGCCAACTCTCTGTTAAAATTTTTGGTCGTTTTTCTTACGGGCTAGCATTTAAAGCTCTTTGCACTTTTTGCGGCAAATACGTATTGCTTCCCTCTTCAGTTCCTAATAGCGGTCCCACATTCCTCGCGTTGCGCCCGATGGCATCATGACCCTGCAGGCCGCATCTTTTTTCTCTGCAGCTTCGTGGCATTCCTCATCGTACCAGTTGTACTTTAGGACGCGCTAAATCCTGTATAAAGAAATAAATACATGTTTCCATGGGTAATCTTGGGAAAGGCTTTTTTATATAATTCAGAAAATGCTGCGCATGTAATTGAAGATAGTATTTACTATAAATATACGCTCCTTGTTTCTGGTTAACAATCTTTTATAAATAAAAATTAATACTTACATAAACTTATTCGATCCTAATAGAAGTTTATTTCTTCATCTATTAATTTCGCAGTCTGAAGAACGTGGTGGTACACCATCACGCCGGAGCAAATCTGAGGGACCGCCAGTTGTGCCCAATGGACGTGCATATGCCATACCGGAGGAAGTTGATGGAACGGCTAAAAAACAGGTATATTTTTAGGGGCATGTCCTTGATTTTAAAATCAAAGTTTTAATTACCAAAGATTGCTTAAGCTTATGTACAAAAATATGTTTGTATGTTATTTGTATTAACATGTCTATAGAATATGAATATAGTACATATGAATGTGATATTCAGATTAGCGCAAGTATTTGCATTAGCGCATATGATACATATGCATAGTGATTGTGTGTAACGTCTTGTGTTGGTAAATTATATGTGTGTTTGTCTGCAAAAATATATTAGTGGCATAACAATAATATATTAATGTGTATATACAAAAGAAAAATTGTGAAATATTAAGAAAACAGCAGACTTATTTACCTTTGATACATATTCATGAGTATGCGGTTAACGATCTAAACATAGAAACAAAACATTAAGTTGAAATTGTTGTACATAAATAATTTTAGCTGTCAGGAGATGGACTTTTCTCTTGACACTTATATTAGGATAATTTGTATTTTCCTCAGTTAGAATCCTTATCTAAGTTAAATAAAAAAAAACAGGTTTCTTGGCTAAACATAATCTTTATTGGGTTCTTTTAAAGATGTTTATGCATTAGGTTCTAAATTAAAGGATTATAACCTAGGATATTTTTTTTTATTTCAAACTAGCCATTGATCGGGTCAAAGGGTTAGTTAGTTGTTGAAGTACCTAATTGATGCAGAACAAAAGACACTGCCATAAGAAATTTTTTTTGTATCTTTTGAAAACAGAGTCTTTAATCCAATATACCTTTGGCTTCCCTAACGAATCACAAAATCGCAAAGTGGTCTTGGTAGGTGAATTATTTTTTGCAAGAGTTCGACTATTGCATCTTTTAAATAGATATATTTTTGACTGGCCAAGGCCGGACAGTCATGCCACTAAATAAATGCTCTAGGAATATTTCAGTATCAAAAATGCATTTTGAAAAAAATGCCACTCCCTACTTTTCTGTCTTTCCTGCCTATAGCCCACCCAGCGCTCCCCAGTACAAGTTTACTGACTAAGCTCTCGAACACGACCAACTGTGACCACAGAATGGTTCCGTTTCCAAAAAGGCAGTTAACTAGTCTTCCTGTGCCAAGTCGTCAGTGACCTCTTGTCCTTCGATTCCACAATGGCCTGGTACCCAGCAGAGTGTTATAGTTTTTTGTGGCAACCAAAATTTATAGCTTGTCAAAGCAGTATTTAACCACATTGGATTTTCTTATTCAGTTTGACAGGCGGGCTGCATGATATCTGAAAATATAACTATAATGGTGGCCTCCACCACCTCTTCAAGCTTTAATTAGCTTAGGTTAAGATTTCTAATACTTAAGTCTGGGCCATCTGCCCAGAGGAATCGCAAGCTAGGAACCACATCCATAAATACCTGCAGGGAGGACACAGCACGCATCCTTAAACCGTCAGTAGTCATATCTGGAATCAAGGGTGGGGAGCTGTTTTATTCAATACTCGCTTTCTGAGATTTTCATTTGGAACTTTTTACTAAAGCAGGTCTTTTTAGTTCTAATATCAGAAATTATGTATGAGATATATATGAGAAAAAACTAAAAAAATTACAGTTTTAAATTGTGTCATTTGCATTAAAGCCTCTTCTTTTACAAACAAAAATCAAGCTACTAAAGAAGAGTGGTAATCCAGCATTACAATTTGTTGTATGATGTTACGCATACGCCACGTACGACTATGCTATTTTTAAATTTTTTCCCTCTTAAAGTTAGATTTTTTTTACATTCACAATGTTAACTTCAAATAAGAATATCTTGCAAAAAATTACCTGATCTAGAAAAATGGTATACAGATCCGTAATTTACATCCCAAAATTAAGTTTACGTGTCTCGGCGTTTTTTGTGTCATTTTAGCCAAACTACGGTGTAATTTTTAAGTTTTATATAAACTTGTACATATTTATTTCATCTTTAGCGCAGACTTATGCACTTATAGCTTTAACAGATAAATTTGTTTATAAAGGACTTTCGCATGTTCATTTGCCAAGCATGTGAGTGAAAATGTATTCAAAAACAAGAGTTGTAAAATACATAGTATAGAAAATTTTTAAATTTTACTTTGAATGTTGACTGTTTAAGCAGCTTTGTAAATACATAAATTCTATGTAGTACGAGTGGCCTATATCTATTAACTTAGTTGTCTTAAATGATGTAAAATAATATTGGCAACATATGAGCTGGAAATAGATTTAGACCACTCAAGTCTTCAAATACGAAGGCACTTTGCATGTTGGTTATAACTTAAATATATTTATTTCTATTTATTGTTTTTATTTTTTGCCACAAAACAATAATAATGTATGCTATGCATTTCGTAAATATTAATTTATTTATGTACATAAAAATCAACATAGTATCAATGATTCATTCATTTATGTATGAATTCCGCATAGTATTGACGCGGGTGTCGTAAGTGTCGCGGTGTTGTACATATGTATATTTGGCTAGATATATTTTTAAGGATTCACAAGGTGTCATACATACCTAATCGTTTTTTTTTTATTTATGTATATTTTTATGTCATTTCAAGTTCTCCAAAGACAATTTTAACCCCTCGAAACCTCGCCTCTGCTTTAGTTGAGTGAGACCTGGATTCGATCTCTGGTGTGATCAACGTGTAAATTAGAAAAAGTTTTATCTAACAAAAATCACTCTTTGGCAAAAAATAACAAACCTTCGAATGCATTTCTGTCAAGAAAAAACTTCTCATAAAGACCACTTGCCGATCAGAGGCGGCGTAAGTCTGTAGCTCCCTCCATTTGTCGAACGCAATGCCGAAAATTGGAGAAGAAGCTCAGCCCAATACTTAGCAAAAGTGCAAACACAAAATTGTTATTGTTATTATTATTACTAATACTTGGAGAATCATGAATCATACATTTTTTTTTATAAAATTTGCAACTTAACACTAAATGAAAATTTTCCTCCACTCTCATGTAAACACTGTCGTCTAAAATGTTAGTAACTAAATTTCCTTTCAACATTTCTACTGCTTTCTATTCAATTTCGATTTCGATAAGACCACAAAAATTTGGAAAGTCAAAAATAAAATCCAATTCATTGCATATTTTACGCAACCTGAATTGGAGAGATTTGCGATGCCGCATCAATTTCTATCATACGGCATTTATATGGCTTAACATGTGCATATACAAAGTACCTACATTTGGATCTCCTTGCACTTCCACGAAGCATAAATTCACTTATTAGGGTGGTTCTTAAAAATATCAACAACTCGAAATTTCGTACAAAATAAAGACATCCACGAAAACTAAAAGTATTTTTAAATATTTTTTAGGGGTCGCTACCTAGGGTATGAAAAAATAAAAATTTTTTTAGATCGCACAAATTCAACGAAATTTTTTAAGGTGATCAAAATAAATTGTATGTCGCACACACACAAACATGCCATTTTCTCAAAAAATTACCCAGAAAAAGAAATTTAAAAGAAAATTCGTTTTGATCTCAGTAAGTAGATACTATATCTTCCAGCATCAGTTTCTTAGTATTTTATATATATATATATATATATATAAAGGCGAAATTCTTGTCAGTGTTGCTAAATGTAAATGTATCTGTTGCAAGTCCTTGTAATAAATACCTTCCTATTCTCCATTGCAACTGTGGCAATTGATGCACCGTCTCACATCTATATGTATTCGTATTAAGTACCATAAATGACGGCAAGTATGCTCATATCTCCTTAAGACATACTCAACAGCGACACACATTTGCAAACATGGATTTAGGCGTGTAACCACTTCGATGTGAACATGTGTGTGACACAAATATTTAAGGCGAACACATACAAACGGCAATGTTCGATTTACCGTCGTCATTTGTTGCCATACGCCACTAAGAAGGCAAAGAAATTGGGCAAAAAATATATATACATACATATGTATTAAAAAAAGAAATTTACATAAATACTGGTTGGTTGCTCACATTGAAAGATTTAAAGTAGATATTTGTATGTGTATAGTATATTTATACATATGTATGTGTACAAATATATGTATGCATGGTTCTTCTCTGCTTTACAGTTGTGCCTCTCAACTAAGGTTTCCGCTTGATTTTTTGCTCAGTGCATATCTATTTGTAAAGGCCAGTGCATTGCAAAGCTGTCTAATAAATGAAATGAAAATTCAAACCGACACGTAATCCAGCCTGAAAATGTGTTGATAGCTGTGTGTGCTGACTAGAGATGGCAGCGATTAATCATTTGATTAAATTATTCGATTATTTTTGTTCGATTAACGATTTAATTTTATCGTAGTTTTATGTTTCCTTAATCGATTGTTAATCGATTAATTGTAGAATAATCGTAGAAATATTTCCAAGAAATATGAATTCTGCAGTTGTCTAAAATCCATCCATCGAACATTCTTTTTTGCTAGCTGCATAAAATTTACTCGACCCGAGGTTCAAAGAAATTAATTTCAAAAATTCGTTACGATTGGCCTTAGTAATAAAATGCTTGCGAAATGAAATAATAATGTACGCAGATGATCCAATGGAAACGGGTAGCGATTTGTCTCTACAATCAGTACAAAATGAGTTCGATATTTGGGCCTATCATGAATCTCTCGTACACAACCGAAGGCGAAAAGATAATGATTTGGGTCATCCACAAGATGAAATGAGTTTTAATTTAAATTGTTTAACGCTTGGGAGGAAATGAAAGCTGTTTACCCAAAACTTTACGGACGTTCGAAAACACTGTAATTTAGTTGGCTCATCGGTGCCTGCTAGGGTTGCCAAACGTACCATAATATATAGTATTGTCCTCTTTTCTCGGTTGGCATACTATATACTGTTGTTAAAAAATATGGTATTTTTGCATACAATATTTATTCAGTTAGAAATAAAAGTATATATCAGCAGTTTGCAAGAAAAAATGCTTATTAAAATGGAATACTGAAATGACTATGTTAAGTGAAATATTTTTTATAATAAAAGGTCATATCGAGCATATGATACTTGC